CCAACTAAAACAAAGTGCGTTTTATTTTGGGTTTTGGGACTTAAACATTGGTCCATGTCGAGCCGGATAGGAGCTAGTGCAATCGGAGATTGTTCCTTTACATTGTGCTAAGCCAAAATTGTTGGTATATGAAATAGGAGCTAGACATGCATACATACAAATTACAAAGAGCTGCTTTCAATAGTTTCCTGTGAGCAGGAATGAGCTAGAAATACATGTATTGAGCTAGATAAAATGCAAAGCTTACCTAAGGGTTAAAGTACAACAGAGCTAATGAGCATGGTGAAACTCGTTTATATAAGCGAGATAGAGCGAGAAAAATATAGAGACAAAGGGCTAAGAGTTTGCGATATAATGATGAAATTCGAAACTTCCAATAAGAGCGTATGGTGTGGTGAATAGAAGGTGCTAGAAATTAACGTATGTACGTCTGCTTGAATGAAGCGATTTGTGTAAAGACGTAACGAGCTTTATTACGCAGAAAGTCTTTGTGAAGTGAAGATTGAAAAGCGAGACTATTTGATTAAGAGTAAAAAACTATTTTTAAATTGCCGGTAAGCGCTAGTATACAGTCCATATAAATAGAGCAAAGAAAATATCGAGCATTCTGCAAGAGCTAGGAAATGTTTATTGTTAAAGTGGGCGAGTGAATTGGAAACAATGAAGTGCAAGCGGCATTTTTCCGTGGTGCTAGTGGCAGTTGAATTCAATTTGAATGGACTCCTGCAACTTGGGAATATATGTGCAAGTGATAGACGTGCGCATGTGTGTTCGGTCTCTATTTGATATTTGAGTTGAATTAGCATTTGAGCATGCTCAAATATATGCTAGCAGAATCTGCGATACAAATGTTTTCTTCATTGCTAGTTACAATAATGATAAATTCTTTTATTTATCAGGTACATTGTAGTAAAAATACAGGATGGCGAAAGTCGAGATGCTGTCGGTGTGTGTTCGGGCCATTGAACGAGCAGCTGCATATGTGCGGAGTGAGGAGTTTGCTTCTGTTACGCATCCCGGTGCTAGTGCGCGTTTAGAAGTATTAGAAGGGAGGTGGAAACAGTGCATGGCTTTGCATGATGAGCTAGTACTAGATGTGAAAGAGGGTGACAAGACTAAAAATTATGATGTAGAGCTAGAGAAAGCCGAAGAAGGTTATTTTGAAGCCCGTGCTGCGCTGCAGGGTAAAATAAATGAGCTATGTCCAACTCCAGTGCCTGTCAATGCGCCAGCAAATATTCAAGTGGAGCTGCAATATCCACAACGGCAGATGGATTTGAAAAACAATTGGGGCGAGTTTGATGGCGCTTTGACAAAATGGAAGGGGTTTCATGACCGATTTAAGGCTGCTGTGCACGATAATGAGCAAGTTGCGCCAGCATTTAAGTTTACTTATTTGCAGAAGTCGCTAGTGGGCAAGGCCGCACGTACCTTGGGCGAGTGGCAGTTGACCGATGAGAATTATCATGAAGCTTGGGAGCGATTAAAACAGCTGTATGATAAGAAATACCACACGTGCCGTGAGTATTTGCGTCAATTTTATAGATTGCCTTTTTTGGAGCGTGCATCTTCGGATGCACTTCAGCGTATGGCGAATGTCACTCATGAGACATTACGCCAGTTGCGGGCACAGGGGTTGCCGGTTGAGCATTGGGATATGATTGTTGTGCATAATTTACATGAGCGCCTAGATGAAGAAACTGGCAAAGCATGTGAACTTCAGCGGCAATCCGAAACGCCAACAGCAGCTGAAATACTCACGTTCCTAGATAAGCAGGCTGCCGCTTCCTCACATCAAGCGGATAATCGTCGTGCACGAGAGGCTAGTGCAGCTTCGACGACAACACGTGCTAGCCAAATTAAGAGGGCTCACCAAGGGGCTAGCAATGGAGCGAGTACGACCAGAGCTAGCATTGGGCAGAAGAGCAACGAGCGAGAGAAGAAAACATATCCGTGCCATCTATGTAAAGGAGATCATGGGCTCTACAAATGCCCAGATTTCTTGAGCTTGAATTTGCGGTCACGCAAGGCATACGTAGAGCGGCATAAGTTATGTCCAAATTGTTTTAAGCAGGGGCATGCTGCAAAGGATTGTTACTCAGGACCTTGCAATCGCTGTCCGGGTAAAATTCTTCATAATAGCGTTTTGTGCCCAACCAGGGAAGTCAACAAACATTTGATGCTGGTGCAGGACAAAGGTAATCCTAACAGAGCTAGTAGCCCATCAAAGTCGGTAGTGAAACGCAAACCGGAGAATGGCAACATGACGTTCTGACAAGCAAGTAAACGAAGCAGGACGGAGCTAGGAGCAGATGAGGTAATGGAACTTAATGTGTTAGAGCATAGTAGTAATAAACAGGCAGAAGTGCACACACCCTCGTACAGCTGTGCGTTTAATTTGGTTGATGATCAAGATGAGCTGGGGCTAGAGTTTGGGGGTCAGTTCCAGGCATCTGGGACCGCAACTAGACGAAGTAGATCTCTTTTACCTGCTGCCCTTGTTCGATTGGAGATCAATGGTATTGAAATTGGGCCATTCTACGCATTGTTGGATTCAGGAGCACAGCCAAATCTGATTTCGCATAACATTTTCAAGGCATATCAATTGCCTGCGGCTAATGTCTGCAGGCACATGGTGGGCATAGAAGGGCAACACTTTGTTGTCAAAAAGAAAATAAGTGCTAGGGTTATGCCATGGTATGAGTCGCGTCAATATATTGAGGCAGAGTTTTGGATATTGCCTGGACAGGGTGGGCTGAAGCTAGTAGTGCCATCTGGTCAGTCCAGCTTGACCAGATTGGCGAATCCGGGACAAGTGCCATTTGCTAATCCTTGTTATTGGGAATCACGTGAGGTGCAGATTGTGCTAGGCGTGCAAGTGTTTGCAAAGTGTCTGATTGGATTAATAGCCAGAAACTCGGATAACACTACCATGATTGAAACGACGTTTGGTATTGTTGTGCTTGGGCCATACATTGAGCCAATGAACTATGAGACTGGGACTGCTTTCTCCACTATAGGTTGCATTAGTCTTGAAGAGCTAGATAAGAAAGTACAGCGATTGTGGAAAATGGATCACGTCCGTGACTCACTAATCCGAACAAAAGAGCAAGAGATTGTTGAGCAGATGTTTATAGATACGTATTACCGGGATGATTTTGGACGCTTTGTGGTGACAATCCCCATAAAAAGTGCTAGTAGATTAGGAAGCTCCCGTTCAATTGCATTAAAACAGTTTTTCTATTTGGAAAAGAGATTAGCTAGGGAACCCGAAATTGCTCGGAAATATATAGATTTTATGCGCGAGTATGAGCGACTTGGACACATGAAAGAGGCTCAGAATAGTCCGCCTCCTAGTGAGCTAGTGTACTATATTCCACACCATTGTGTGCTTAAGAAATTTCGTGTTGTATTCAACGCTAGTTGCAAGACCGATGCAGGAGTTTCTCTAAATGAAGTTCAAATGCTTGGTGAGAAGTTGCAGCGTGATCTTCCCGACATTATAATGCGTTTTAGGCGGCATAAAATTGGAATAAGCTGTGACGTGAAAATGATGTTCAGACAAATACGAATTATTGAGAGCCAGTATGACTTACAGCGGATATTTTGGCGGGAGAGTCCCAGAGAGAAGTTGCGTGAATACTGCTTAACAGTGGTTACATATGGGATGACTGCATCAGCACATTTAGCAGTGCGTTGCTTAATTCAGGCAGCTAGGGATCAGTTGGAATATTTTCCATCAGCAGCTAGAGCTATTATTGATGATTTTTATATGGATGATGGAATTACAGGGGCAAGTAATGATGACGAAGCGATCAGATTAGCTAGAGAAATGAGATTCGTGCTAGGTAGTGCTGGTATGGAACTATGTAAGTGGCAGTCCAATAGCAAAGTGCTAGTAAATGCTTTCCAATCAAAAGAACCGAATACATTGTTGCTGTCCGATAATGCGGATACATCGGTGCTAGGCTTGAAGTGGCATACTGATAGCGACGAATTTACATTTGTGGTGAAGACGCCAGAGGTACCTGTGGTGATTAGCAAGCGAATTGTTCTAAGTTGTGTTGCACAACTTTATGATCCAAATGGTTATATAACACCAGTTACATTTATTGGAAAAATAATAGTGCAAGATTGGTGGAGACTGAGCATGGGATGGGACGAGCAGGTTCCTCAGAGCATTAAAGATAGATGGCTAGAATTCTGGAAAGATATTTCGGAGCTAGAAAGATTCAAGTTACCTCGATATATTCGTGTATCAAATGATGCAACTATTCAGTTGCATGGATTTGCGGATGCATCTGAGAAAGGCTTCGGGGCAGTGATTTATGTGCGAGTTGTGTCCAGTCTGGGAATGATAAGTTCTGAGTTGCTAATTTCCAAGGCTAGGGTTGCGCCATTGAAGACAATAACAATTCCTAAACTTGAGCTTGCTGCTGCTGAGCTTTTAGGTAGGTTATACTTGAGCGTTGTACGGAGCATGGAATGGCAGGCAGTAGACTATGTGATGTGGTCGGATTCAACCATAGTCCTGCATTGGCTACGGAAATTGCCGTGCCAGATGAAGGTCTATGTAGCAAATAGGGTGGCGTCTATTCAGGCGAATACTGACATCAATAAATGGCGACATGTGAAAACAAGTGATAATCCAGCTGATCTTCTTACTAGGGGTATGAGCGCTAGTGGAATTGTGGGCCATCAATTATGGTTGCATGGTCCCAGTTGGCTTAGGCAACCAAGCAAGGAATGGCCAAAAGGTGGTTTTGGGTATGAGCATATACCTGAAGGAACCTTGCCGGAGCTGAAAGTGCATATTGCAGTTGAAGCAACTCGAACATGGAGCATTAAGAGCAATGGTAATGCGGAAAGTGTTCCGCTGGTACAATGTGCTAGTTCATTGGACAGATTAATTGGGATCATGTCGCAAGTGCTAAGATTTGTGCGTCTGTTGAGAGCAAAGGGTAATCGACAGCTTCGAAAGTCAAGCCGTGGAGACTTTCATATTCCGGTGCCTACTGCTGAAGAAAGGTCTAGGGCTTTAGAGCTGATGATTAAAGAAACGCAAGAGCTGGAATATCTAAGGGAGATTCGTGCCTTGTCCAGGGACACACCGATGCCTGAAGGAAGCAAAATTGAATCACTAAAGCCAACGTTAGACAGAAATGGCCTTCTGCGCGTAGGTGGTAGAATCGGAAGAGCAGAATGTGATTATGAAATGAAGCATCCGGTAATTATTCCATCTGGTTCCAGCTTGAGTCAGCTGATTATAAGTAAAGCGCATCAGGCCACTAAACATGGTGGCGCTCAGGTGATGATGCAATACATTCGACAGCGTTTTTGGATACCGCGCTTACGAAGTGAGCTTAGGAAATTCACGCATAAGTGCGTCACATGTGCTAGATATGCCAAAAGGTTAAGTGAGCAGCTGATGGCTGACTTGCCAGCGGATCGGTTGCAAGTCGGGAAACCATTTCTACACTCAGGTGTGGATTATGCGGGACCTTTTGAAATCAGACAGCTAGATAAAAATGGGCGTTGCGTAGTAAAACGGAAGAGCTGGGTAGCCATATTTGTGTGCTTAAAAACAAGAGCTGTGCATATTGATATGATCACTGTTCTGAGTGCTAGAGCCTTTATAGCTTGTTATGAGCGATTCATTGCAAGGCGCGGGAGATGTGAGAGAATGTACAGCGACAATGGGACATCATTTGTTGGTGCTTCAAAGGATATCGCTAGAGCTTATGAGCGCTGGAGAGCTAGTGATATGTTTTCTGAGCTAGTGCTGAAGGGGACTGAATGGCATTTTATGACCCCAGCTGCACCGCATCAAGGTGGTATTTACGAGGCGGCCGTAAAGTCAATGAAACATCATTTAACGCGTGTTATAGGGCAAAAGTGCCTGGAATATGAGCAATTTCTAACGCTTCTAGCACAGATAGAAGCAATTTTGAATTCGCGCCCGCTATACCCATTGAGCGATGATCCTTTGGATGTGCAAGCCCTAACGCCGGGCCATTTTCTGGTGGGTGGACCTCTGGTTCTCCCTCCTCCAATCGATATAGCGCCACAACCAGGCACCAAAGGGCGGAAGCTATGGCAAGAAAGACAGACCATGGTAACTCATATATGGCAACGTTGGCGAAATGAGTATCTTACAACCTTGCTGGAGAGGAAGAAGTGGCGCAAGGAGCAAGAAAGCCTAAAGATCGGCCAGCTAGTCATCATCAAGAGTGAAAACTTTCCACCATCCGCTTGGGCTTTAGGAAGAGTTAGTGAGCTGATAATGAGCAAAGATGGGCTAGTGCGCAACGTGGTTGTGCGAACAGCTACTAACGAGCTAGCTCGGCCAGTACAGAAGATTTGCGTCTTACCGGTCGATACGAGTGCTAATACTGAATAATAGTGAGGGCTAGATGGAACCAAATTGAGCAAGCTCAACGGGGCAGTGTTCCGTATGAACCAAGCTTCATACGAACTTATATGATGAGAATAA